ATTTTTGCATAGCACATGTTGTCTTTATAATAAAACTTATCAGGAAACCAAGGCAACCAAGAGACAGAGGTGTAAATGTAAGGCAAGTATAAGATTGATTTCCATGCCCCCCATACTGTCTGACCTTGTAGCAATGTTTCAAATATAATCAGCATGAACATATCACATGAGCACATTTTGTTGCTACTTATTCATTTCCACTGCTGTTGCAAAAATAAATACCTAATGAAAAATCTGTACGTTGCATATTGTTATTTGATGGCATTTTGTCCTCTGTGCAGTTCATGCCAATAAGGGTTGGTTTCGGGAGGGACAAAGGGCAGAGGGTGAGAAATGAGTAAGAAAATTGATGACAGTGCCAATATCTGTAGCCATGTGCTATAAAGAGAGGAAAGAAAATAAAAATCTCTTAATTTTGAGCCTGGTAACTCAAGCTTCTTGGCAGATAAGAGACATAGATTAAATTAATGGAGATTGCCTATCTCCTAGAACTGGAAGGGACCTTGAGGTCATTGACTCCAGTCCCCTGCCTTCACAGCAGGCCCAAGTACCATCCCTGACAAATTTTTGCCCCATCTCTCTAAATGGCCTCCATGAGGATTGCACTCACAACCCTGGGTTTAACAGGCCAATGCACAAACCACTGAGCTATCCCTCCTCCCTCCATAGAAACGATTTGCCAGAAATGCACACAAACAATCCAAATGTTTACATTTCAGACTCTTTGTTTTCTTCTGTTTTTACATACAATAGACTATGTTGCATTATATGTGCACAGTAGTCACTGATGAGTTCTGTCAGAAGTGGCATAATTTGGATTACTGATTTCTTTTTGGAAAGTTTTATTTTGATTTCTCAGTAATTTTTCAAAGTAAGTACGTACGTCTACACAGCAGGGCTTAACTAGAAATAAGCTACACCAATTGAGCTACATCAATTGCACAGCTTATTTCGAAATAGGGAGCATCTACACAGCACTTATTTCAAAATAGAGCACCTTCCTCCAACTTCCCTTACTCCTTGTACAATGAGGGTTACAGGAGTTGGAGTAAGAAGTCCTCCAGCTTGACTAAGTTATTTCAAAATAATGATTGCTGTGTAGACATACCCTATGAGAGAGAGATAATTTTCCTGTTCTGCCTCCTCCATTAGGATGGTCTGTGTAAATAAAGCCAGGCTTTGTAAACAGCTTCCATAAATTAAGGTGGCCTTTGGCATGTTTAACGGCTGGTACTAATATCCCTACTGTTGTTTTCATAGGTTATTCACTTATGCACCTGTAAAAGCACCTGTAGAAGTCACATACAAATGCAAACACTACACATGATCCTACAAATGTATTTCATTTACAGTGCACATATCAGTTATGATTTTTTTCTGTATCTGATGCACTGTCCCCTCTTTTAGGCATGGATAGTTAAATGTAGTGGTGCATGCAGATTAATGAAATTATCGACCCTTGAAGAAAGTAGGCAAGTATCTTTTACTCTCCTCTTCTTCTAAGTGGTTGCAAGAAATCAGTGTCAGTAATTCTCATTAAAATGCAGCCCAAAGTGGACTCACCTACAAAATTCAAATAATAGGAATGTGCATTAATTACATTACTCAAAATGTGTACATGATCATGAAAGCAAGCATCTTTATATTCTAATCCCAATATCTATAAATCATCTAAATTCATGAAAGAGAGAAAGAGGGAGAGAGAGAACTAATTAATCTACAGATAGTAGTGTCTCTGTGAAATACAGAACTGGCAAGAGTAGGATCTATTCTATTGCACTGAACTTCTCTTGAATTGTACTACAGGCAGTCCCCGAGTTACGCGGATCTGACTTATGTCGGATCCGCAGTTACGAACGGGGCCCATCTCCCTGGTCTCCAGCAGACCAGGGAGAGGAAGCAAAGCGGCGGAGCATGCGGGCAGCTGACAGCCCAGACGCTGTCCGCTGACCGCGTGTTCCGCCACTTTGCTCCCCGTCCCCCTGGTCTGCAGACCAGGGAGACGGGGAGCAAAGCAGAGCAAAGCCACGGAGCATGAGGGCAGCGGACAGGGCAGCGGACAGCCCAGACGCGCTGTGGCTGGCCTGCTGCTCTCGGGCTCTGTGGCTTTGCTCTGCTTTGCTCCCCGTCTCCCTGGTCTGCAGACCAGGGAGACGGGGAGCAAAGCAGAGCAAAGCCACGGAGCATGAGGGCAGCGGACAGGGCAGCGGACAGCCCAGACGCGCTGTGGCTGGCCTGCTGCTCTCGGGCTCTGTGGCTTTGCTCTGCTTTGCTCCCCGTCTCCCTGGTCTGCAGACCAGGGAGACGGGGAGCAAAGCAGAGCAAAGCCACGGAGCATGAGGGCAGCGGACAGGGCAGCGGACAGCCCAGACGCGCTGTGGCTGGCCTGCTGCTCTCGGGCTCTGTGGCTTTGCTCTGCTTTGCTCCCCGTCTCCCTGGTCTGCAGACCAGGGAGACGGGGAGCAAAGCAGAGCAAAGCCACGGAGCATGAGGGCAGCGGACAGGGCAGCGGACAGCCCAGACGCGTCTGGGCTGTCCGCTGCCCTGTCCGCTGCCCTCATGCTCCGTGGCTTTGCTCTGCTTTGCTCCCCGTCTCCCTGGTCTGCAGACCAGGGGGACGGGGAGCAAAGTGGCGGAACACGCGGTCAGCGGACAGCGTCTGGGCTGTCAGCTGCCCGCGTGCTCCGCCGCTTTGCTTCCTCTCCCTGGTCTGCTGGAGACCAGGGAGATGGGCCCCGTTCGTAACTGCGGATCCGACATAAGTCAGATCCGCGTAACTCGGGGACTGCCTGTAGTTGCCTGCTGACAGGGTAGTATAGCAGATTTACAGATCACTGGTGGGAGTTAGCATGGCATTTTCCAAATGGAAATGGAGCAAGTCTTTCCTTTCATAAAACTTTAAACAAACAAGGGACTGGATGGCTCAGAGAACTGAAGATGGGGAAGAGTTTCCAATCTGTGTCATTTCACTAAAATGTGATGATGCCTGTTAAAAATTAGTTTTCTGGCCCTAAAACAATTTCTCTCTGAAGGTACTCTATTTCACTTACCCACCATTACAACAGGCAGCCTGCTGGTAACATCACAGAAAGCCCCAGACCCGGATGGAACTGTCCTCCAATGTCAGAGATTGCTTCCAGCTCAGTGCAGGGAAATTTTTGGCAACTTGTCTTGATATCTGTTGTATGGAGAGACACCACTCTCTAGTGCTACCACCTGTCAAGCACCTTTCATAAAAGCTAAACTTCTCAGCAACAAGATTTGCCTTTTCTCAATTATCTCTTTGTTTGGAACTTTCCTCATCATTTGTAAAATAAAACTAACATGAAATTGGTTTCTGTTCTGGTTTTGTTTTACTAACATCAGATGAACCACTCAGTATTTTCTAGAGATTCACTTCTTCACCCTAAGGTGCTGCAAAACCTGTCCCCTTCTGAGACATTTTCCATAGTACTGGAGCCAGTTCTGTGCAAAGATGAGGGTACAGAGGTAGAAATTTATTCCCAGTAGGCACCTATTTCATTTTGACATCTGGAGTAAACCAAATCCTGCCCTGTCATGTGCAAAATGCATTAGAGCTTAGGGAGTTCTGCAGAGCAAAACAACAGAGAAGCAGTAATGTACTGCTATGTAACTCTTAGGAGAATTCATAGAGCACAGCAGGACATTTTGACTGGCTGGTCCCCTGTTTTTCCAAGATTGTGGTCTCTTGCCAAGGATTGTTCATTTAAGGGGTTGGACTAAGCAATATGGGAGTCTATGAAGCAAAAAGGGTTCGAGCTTTCTTATGAAGGTAAAAGCTTTCTTATGAGTCCATTAGAACTCAGGATATCATTCTTTATTTCCCAACTCTGCCCAAGACTTCTAAGCCAGCTGGGATAAATCAGAGCAGTTCTATTAACTTGGAGCTTGGGTGAATTACTTAGTCTCTTTATGCCTCAGTCCCTCTTCTAGAACATAGCGATAATCAAACTCTGAGGGTGTGTCTAAACTACATGCCTCCATCGACGGAGGCATGTAGTTTAGACGTAACCTGAGGCACTCACATTGTGGAGACGAAGGACAAACAGGCTGTGTCCAGACTCAGGGGTTTTTTTCGGGAAAAGTAGCCTTTTTCCGAAAAAACTTCACCTGCGTCTAGACTGCAGCCGCGTTCTTTCGAAATTAAATCGAAAGAACGCGGCTTTTCTTTCGACGGCGGTAAACCTCATTTCACAAGGAAGAACACCTTCTTTCGAAAGTGCTTCTTTCGAAAGAAGGCGTTCTTGAATGTAAATAGGGCTTCTTCGAAAGAGAGCATCCAGACTCACTGGATGCTTTCTTTCGAAAAAGCGGCTTGCTCTTTCGAAAGTTCCGCGTGCAGTCTAGACGCTCTCTTTCGAAAGAGGCTCTTTCGAAAGAGCCTCTTTCGAAAGAGCCTCTTTCGAAAGAGGCTTGCAGTCTAGACATAGCCACAATGTGGACCGTATAGATTTTGCAAGTGAAAAAAAAAAGCTTCCTCCCTTCAAAACAAAGCATCAATACATGTAACTAGTGCACAAGCACACTGCAGCTGACAGCCAGGTAGCTTCATAAAGCAGACCAGGGATACTGACTGCTCTCTTTTCAAATATAGATTTTAACAGAATAATTACAAAGCAAGCACTGCTGAGGTAAAAAGGTGGCCAAGATATATTTTCTACACATAAAAAGGCACCCATTACAGATTAGTTTCATTTAAAGACTTCTCATTTTCATTTCTAAAATCTCTAACTAAATTGCCTTTTTTTCTTCAGGGTCTAGTGTGACAGGTGTATGCTACTTCCATGAATGGTATTAATGGGAGCTGTAGGCATAGCCACTGCTGAGTATAGCCCTAAATCTAGTCATGTCAAAAGAGCACTTTTTTAATGGGGATGATTATTGTCAGCTATTTTACATGTAAAAGGCTCTCTGCATGTTTATTTTTGTACTGTATTTTTTGTGGGGATGTAAGTCACAATCTGTCATGTGTCTTCTAGGAGCAGCTAAAGGCTTTGGACCGGGAAATAAACACGTTTGTGGATTATATGTTTGGGTCTCGAGGTAAGTGTGCTTTTTCCCGGGCTCCCAATAAGTCATCTTTTCATGTGCAAACAAAAGCTGTTTGAATCATCTGCAGGTCTAATATAACACTTGAAAATAAGAAAGAAGCCGTAGCTTTCATAAAGGCTGTGACCAAGATGTTCAACGTTGACGCACCGTTTGGAGTGTTTCACTCAGGCCCACAATGGTGCGGATGGGCACGGGGGAGGGGGAGGAAGGATAAGAGGACAGTTGCCCTGGGGCCCAGCAATTCACAGGGACATGGGACTTTTCCACCACCGCAGTAGCAGTAGCAGTGGCCAAAGCCCCAGGCTAGATTTTCTGAAAATGCTGAGCACCCACCTTCTGGAAAATCTCGGTTGCCAACTCTCCAGGATTGTCCAGGCATTTCCAGGAATTAAAGGTTAACCTGTAATTAAAAATCGTCATGTGATGAAATCTCCAGGAATATGCCCAACCAAAACCAGTAACCCTATCAAGCCTCTGAGGTGTCTCAAGTTTGGTACTCCAGAGCTGGTTCTCCCAAAAATCACTAGTCAGTTATTTAAGAAAAAAAGTCTTTAGCACAGAGTGTAGTTAAAAGTCTGTTGAAAACAGAGGAGCTCTGAATTATGGTGCCAAAACCAACCTTAACTCTAGCTCATCCTCTAGCTCAGAGGTTCCCAACATGGGGTACGCATACCTCCAGAGGGTATGAGAAGCTTGTCAAGGGGGTAGAGGGAATATCTGGTAAATAACTAGATTATCCTAATTGAAATATTCCAGAAGTTGTAGTGTTAAAGTTGTGGATTCTAGCCTAGAATTTATTTCCTTTCATATTGAATAGGGGGTACGGGAAGGTTTACTAAAAGCCAAGGGGGTACAGGGACCGAAAAAGGTTGGGAACCCCTGCTCTAGCAGATCGCATCCCATTTGTTTACACATAGATATATCACACTACACCATCATGTTCTGCATTTCCATTCTAGCCCACAAATAATACCCAAATAATTGCACTACAAACCACTTCTACACTTATCACATTTGGGCCATTGACCCCAACACAAAGTTTCCTTCACTTCAGCTACCAAATAGATTGGCTATATACATGAGGTATGCCAGGGTAAAACGCACCTCTAAACACAAACACATCCTAGGACCAACCTGTCCCAGAGGTAACTAAATCTGGGTGAAAAAATGTTTATAGAAGAAACAAGGTGTACATCTATTCTTTGCAGTCTTCCTTAAGTATTCGCAAAATACATAGCTGTGTTTTTGTGCACTCAGATACTGTGGTAATGAAAGCCATATAAACACAAATCAAACATTAGCTATCTGAATTTTTACTGTCTCATTAATACTTGAATGATTTTGGTGACTCAGATCATCTTCTCAAAAATGTCCAATAATAAAAGCTGTTCAACAAATGTTCGGAACAGTTTTTCCATCAGAAAATGCCATGACAAAATCACATTTTGTGAGAATGTGTGCACTTGGTTTGAAGTTTCATGAAAATTATGGAGATATTTGACTTCAATGAGGTCAGAATTTTTTTTCAGTTTATTCTGATTTGTCACGTTATTTATAATAACATAAATCAAAGAAAACAACATTTGGATAAAGTCAAAACAAAATATATTTGGAATATTTGTGTGTCATGCAAACTTCTAAGATTTTGACTTTTCATCTGGAAAGAGGATGAAATCAAACTTCAAAATCTTCACATTTTCTGCACAGAGGAAACCCTATTCCAGGCATAAGAATAATCTCATCTTCACGTGGTTCATCTAGCTAACAAAGGGACTAGTACTGAAAGATACTGATTGCAGTGTAAGTTAAAGGTACCAGATCCCTTCAGGCTGAGATCCACAATCTCAGCAAACCTCATGCAGATTCAGGTCACTTCTTTCAGACCCTTTCTAGACTTTGTCTGCTTCCTATATCTATCACCTCAGAACAGACCCATCAACGCAAGGGGGGAGGTAGGCAAAGGGGACAGTTGCCCCAGCGCCCAATAATTCAAAGGGGCCCAGGGTTCCTGGTCGCAGTGACTGCTGGAGCCTCGCTCCCTTTTGAATTGTCACCAGAGTGCTGCTCCGCGCAATTCTGAGGGTTGGGGACAGGGTACGCGTGCCATGATCCAGGCAGCGCTGACGGCTGGCTGCCATGCTACCTGAGGGGGTCATACCTGCTTCCTGAATCAAAATATGAAGACCTACATCATAGTGTCATTGTAAAGATTATAACAGAGTTTTCGGGTGCCTCATCTTGCATTTCATCAGATTAATAGTCTTCGGATCTTAACATTCCTATTTTTAAGGGAAAATAGTTACAGAATTCTTAAAATCTGGTTTTTAAAACATTCCTGTGGGAACAGCAATCACCTCCATTAGCTTTGAAACATATTTGATCTTTGCAAAACTTTGGATTGCACCATTTCTGGATTTTTACCTGAATCTATGTTAAAAATGAATAGAATGGCTTCCAAGAAAATACTTGTAAAATAGGCCTTTAATACAAGCTAGTTAATGCAGTGTAATAACCCCGTGTGTGAAGGCTTTGTTCCTTTTTACATACATAAAGGCCATGCCCTTTTATCCTTCTCTCTCCAGTGCCTCCAGAGCCAAGTCTTTGAGATGGATGAATTGTGGTTAACATAACCACACAACAAATACTATTGCTCCCCTGGGTCTTCAGAATGCACTTTAGTAAAACAAATACTGCCTGTGCCAACTCACTCAGAGATTCACAGTTGGCATTTGAAAGGCAAGGTCTCACAGGAATGACTGCCATTTGAAAGGAATTGAATATTAATAGCCCAAATCAGCTACAGAATCAAAAGTCTATGAAAACATGTGTAGTGCTTAGGGAGGGATAGTACTAAAGCTATTCATGCCCAGACACTCATCTCAAGGAGCTTAGAATCATAACTTATTGGAAAAGAAAAAAGCAACTTCATTCTCTGAGTTTGGTAGGAAATAGTGTCACTCTGTTCCCCATTAGTAGCTTCAAATATTTTCCCGAGTGCACCTGTGCTCTTATGTCAGCAATGTTCATTTTTCCTCACTTGTTGCTGAGCTGTCTCTCACCAGTTGGGAATAGGACTTCAGTGGCATCTTACTCTAACTCTTGGGGCTGATCCTGGCCTTTACTATGACTAACTTTTATTGATCCTACTGTTCTAAATGGCATCTTTGGACATAGACTGGCACCCAGAGTCAGGGAAGATTTAAGGTAGTTTAAAGTCTTCCTCCTCCTTGGCCGCATGGATTGCAGAAGGGCCAGGCCTGGCCAAAGAGTTTGTGGGGACCAAGGCAGCCCCCTGACAGTGGCCGCTCCCAGGCAGAGCAGTGAGTGAGCAGCCAGGCCTGCAGTGAGTGAGCGAGCAAGCACTGGGTAGTGTAGGGTCCTGAAGGCACCAGGCTCAAGGTAACCGCCTCACTTGCCTTGTTGTAAGGCTGGGCCTGAGAAGGGCTAAAGATACTGGACATATTAGCCTGTGTCCAACATATAAGCTGTTAGCTGTTTTTTTTATGAAGATTTTTTTTTATAAGGAGATGAAAAGTAAGCCTGTTGCCAGCTGAGAACAAAATAGCAATATGGGAGCAGTCCTCCGGTAATACAGTGCTTCAAAATAACTTGTGACCTTACCCTCTGCTGGGTTAAACTAGTACACTAAGGAGAGATACCTGTCTTGAAGGGATTTAGAGGCAAATCATTTTTTTCAGATTAGAGGGGTTCCTATCTGAAGGCCTCTCATCTTCTTGCTACCCACATCAGCTGGCAAGAACAGAACTACAGTGAAACAGCAGCCCAAGGTGCAGTCTGATACTACATTTCTGAATTTACCTGTGGCATTAAACTATGCAATGGTTAGACCAGTTAAGCCACAAGACACAGCTGTGCTAGTACAATTATAACTAGTTAAGTAGTACAAGTACAAATTGCAATTACATTGCATCTCAAACACTAGCACTGAAAGTATGATCTTGTTTGTTTATGGCCCCATGCAGTAGCATGCACTTTTATTTCAGTCGTCTCTGTATATGTAGTGGCACAGCCCAAAATAACATGGCACTCTGTAAAATGGTCATATAGACAGGTAATTCACAAAAAATTGCTCAAATAGATGGAGAGATTCTCTCCCTCCCTTAACAAAGGAGAAGCTCTGATGAATTCTAGTGAACTTACTAAAAAGACTAAAATATTAAAGCATTACAGACTTCGTTCCTCTTGGTTTGACAGCAGGCCATCTGAAATAAATGATTACTGTTCCTTTAAAAATAACCCATCTTTTTATTTTGCTGTATATTTTTAGACAATGGCTGACAAGCAGGGTATTTCCAGGGGCAAGGAAGCAGGGAAATCACTCTGGATGCCAACTTCCAGGGCTACTGAACTTCTGTGCCACACAGCTTTTTGTTTTCCTTCCCTGTTTCTGTTTGGTTGGATTTGGAGGAGTCCATGCACCTAAAGCATTGTTAGTCCTTTGGAGACCACACATTATTTTCTAAAACCAATTTCCATAGTAGTATTGAAAGTCATCTAACACCGCCTGCCATCCTGCACTAAAGGCAATGGAAGCTCTGCCATTGAGTACCATCAATCCCTTGTATGGCTTTGTCCCCTTCTCTGGTAGCTACGTCTCATAAAGCAGTTTACACTGACTGCAGCTATTGAACTATCACTTCTTTTGGCTCAAGCAGTGGATAAATTCTTAGCTTGCATATAGCACTTTTTACCCACAGATCACAGAGCACTTTCAGATGAGGCTAGTATCATGATCCCCATTTTAGAGATGGAGAAACTGCAGCACAGAGTGATGTGATTGACTAAGAGTCACCCCAGAGGGTCAGTAGCAGAACTGGGCATAGAATCTAGATAGCTTCAGTCCCCATCTTCTGCTCTCTTTCCACTAAACTGAACAGAATACTTGCGCAAGAGGGCTTAATTCCTGAGCAGGAGCATCGGCGTATTTACGCAAGAACCACCAATTACTGTACAGCACAAAGTCAGTGTTCTTGCGCAAATACTCATGGCCAGTGTAGACAGGCACAAAATCATGCCAGTCTAGATGCACCCTCTGTGGCATTATTTTGCCACCAACTTCAGTGGTGTTAGGATTTCATTCCCTGGCTCTGGCTCATCATTATTTTTAATTGAAAGTTAGTTTGAGATGCAATCTGAGCGTGTGTGCACATCTCTTTTATTACATGCCATGTTCCAGGGCTCTGATAGTGTACTGTCACTCACTGCTTTCATCTGGAATTTAGTTGTTGGAATGATTCAGAATGGTCAAACTTACAGCATGGAACACTTTCCCTAGTAAGTAGATGAATTTGTACCCATTTGCACATAAAGGAGTCTGACAGACAGTAGACATTAATGTTAACTGCTCTCTATTTTCCAATCAGATCCATACAGTTTCCCCCAAAAATGGAAGAAGAGAACAATTTTCAGTGTGAAGCTTCAAAAGCGAGCACTGAAAGTAAACCAATAGTAATAAGTATTATGTTTAAGTGGCTTGACATTGCAGCCATTAGTCACTTGCAGTTAAAGCATTAGGACATAAGCTGTGCTCCTTTAGCGAGGATGTGAAAACTTGCTGTGCGTGTCTAGAGTGGAAGTAGCTTTCATCACTTATCTAATTTTCCATTTTAGCTCACCTCATCATCTGATTTCTAACAATTACTTTTACTCTAGTTGCAAAGGCAGTTTCTGGTTACCTTCTCAGTGTCTCTAGTGGAACTCCTTTGCTCTGGAGACTGCATGCATGTGTGAACTCCCTTTAGAAATCAGCCTTCTGATGCAGGCAAGACTGGTGTTATCCTCATCTGCATTACAATTTCTCTCTCATTTTTAAAGGTGCACTCAGTCAAGTTTTGTATGGCTTGAGTTTTACCTTACTTTTATTTTCTTATGCCTTATTTGTACTCATCCCATGTATTGGATGATGGCCCAAGATCATCTTATATGTCTGGTCATCTTTCAGACCAAATAATTTTTTCCAATGCCATTCTAACTGTCAAGGCTCGTATGCTCTTGTATAGATGATACTGTATCTCTGTGCAATATGCTCTCTTGGAACAGACAATGCTTGTGCCAGAAGACATGCTGAATGTTTATTAATTAATATTATCACATCTAAGACAAACACATTTTCAGATTCCAAGGAAGAAAACACCATTTCATCTTGCTAATACAGAGCGATCTGAACTGAGAAGCAAGAAAATCCCAAATAATTTCAGCTCCATTACTAGCTGACTGTACTTTTAGACAGATTTATTCTTCAGCACTCCCAGTAGTGAGAATGAAAAAAAATACAGTCTTCCAGTTTTAATAGACGTGGTTGACACTAAGTTATTCAAACCACAGACTATCTAGTTTTAGACAAAATTCAAGGCAGGAAGTGACAGAAATAATAAACACACATTTATTATTGTGTTATTCACAAAGGACAGTTCTAAATAATTTAAATTTTGTTGTTGAAAACAAGGTTTTCTGATGAAAAAATCTTTTAACAAAACATGAGAAGATAAAATATTTTTTCTTAAAAAAAAAAAAGTCAGTAAATGTTTGATGAAAGTATCCTCTTGAGGAATTTTTCAAGCCCCATTTAGAGGTATTGTTCAAGAGTGAAAAAGTGAAACTAAACCCACATGTGGTATTTTACTGTCCAATTTAGCAAAATACAAAAAGTAAACATGAATGGTAAAACAAAAATTGTTTTCTTTTAACAAATCCAAATGATTAATACAGGTAAGGGTAGTTTTAGCATAGTTTGTGATTTTTTTTTTTAAACCCAAAACTCATGTCTCAGATAAGGAATATCTTTTGGACAATTGAGCAGTCTTTAAAAAAAGAAAGCATATATGATGAAGCAATTTCATGTACCATAAAGTCTGTTGCTGAAGAGATTTTGCTGTATTAAGATTACTTTCCCTGGAAATTCAGTCTTTCATTTGCAGATCTTGGCAGGAGTGCAAACCATTATTCTTTGCTTCTGCCATCCCTTTGTTCACCTGGAAAAGAATGATGCCATAGATTTGGCATATGAGGCTTGATCATGCTCTTCCTTTTCAAACAAGTGTTATTAATATTAATGAGATTACTTGTGTGAATAAGGCAAGTAGGATTTGGTCTTAGTATTTTTCAGGATCAAGCAAGTGTACCCCATGAGCTAATGAGAGAGCAGGCCCTAAATTTAAAGAACAATTATTTGATAATAAGCAAAACAAATACTGAAAAAGAAATGACAGATTTAATGTTTGACTTTCCCTATACAAAAGCCCGAGTAAATAAAGTTAAAAATATGTAATAAAATTGTTACTGTCTGTGAATAATTTTTCCAATGTGTACTTTGTGTGTGTATAATATTATTAAAATGCAGGATATGTGTTCAGACAATTTAGTATTTAATTTAATTTTAAATTTTAAATTTTAACCACAGACGTATATTGACATGAATTGAGTATTTGGCAGCCCATTACTGTAAACAGCATCTCCTTTGGAATGTTACCTCAGGTTATTTGCAATGGTATAATGACCATATTGGTCCCACCATGTGACACAGGAAAGACAAGTCTCAGCACGTTCCCACCAGCACCTTTAAACAGACACTCTGAATATGGATAGAAATGTAGCCGTGTTAGTCTGCTGTAGATGGTTTATTAGGTGATGAGCTTTCGTGGGTCAGACCCACTTCCTCAGATCAAATAGTGGAAGAAAATTGTCACAAACCATATATACCAAAGGGTACAATTAGGAAAATGAACACATATGAAAAGGACAAATCAAATTTCAGAACAGAAGGGGGATGGGGAGGTAAATGTCTGTGAGCTAATGATATTAGAGGTGATAATTGGGGAAGCTATCTTTGTAATGGGTAAGATAATTAGAGTCTTTACACCTGAGTTTGAATAAAGACTCTAATTATCTTACCCATTACAAAGATAGCTTCCCCAATTATCACCTCTAATATCATTAGCTCACAGACATTTACCTCCCCCCTTTATCCCCCTTCTGTTCTGAAATTTGATTTGATTTGTCCTTTTCATATGTGTTCATTTTTTTTAATTGTATCCTTTGGTATATATGGTTGTGACAATTTTCTTCCACAATTTGATCTGAGGAAGTGGGTCTGGCCCACGAAAGCTCATCATCTAATAAACCATCTTGTTAGTCTTTAAAGTGCTACATAGTCCTTTTGTTTTGTTTCACACTGAATATGGGCTGCCTCCTTTTAGCAGTACCGAGCAAGCCATTTTGAATTGCTCATTGCATTTGTTTCTGTTCAGATTCCAGGGTCAGAGGATGGCTCCTGTTGGATTCTTACCTACCCACATTTTTCCTTACTGTAATATATCTACTATCCATATGGCTTGGCACCATGTTTATGAAGAACAGGCCTGCATTCTCTCTCAGGGGTCATCTCATTGTATATAACCTTGGAGTTACAGTGCTTTCCTTGTACATGCTCATAGAGGTAAGTTTTCTTAAATACAGCACCACATCTGAGAAGGACAAGCAGTAAGTCATTTAGTAAATCATGACTTCCTGAGTAATCTGGGGTTTCAAATTACAACTTTTCAGCCAGTTTAACAATTGATCTGAGAGACTCGGTAATAATTTGACTCCTAGAGCACCTTGTAGCCATGGAGTTCAATGCCATCATTAATGAGCTCTGCCTCACACCTAGAGTTAGTCAGTTTCTGCTAAAGCAGAAAGTTTGCAAATCTGCATTTGAACTTTCAGTGATTGCCCTGTTCAGCTATAACTATGTCCTTTTATTCACCATTTGTGACCATTCCAATGCATTATGGAGGTGTAACTGCATGGATCCCAGAATATCAGAGAGAAAAAGTAGGTGGGGTCATAGCTTTTACTGAGTTCTGTTGGTGAGAGAGCTTGAAAGCTTGCCTCTCTGAACAACAGAAGTTGTTCCAATAAATTTTAAAAAATCTTACCCATTTTGTTTCTAATTCCTGTAATTTTTAAAAATTTGCATGTATGTCTATAGGGAATGACTATTTGTTCAAATGTCCATGTTTATATATAATAGAACAGATATATGTAGAAGAGTATGAGTTAATTATTCCTCATTTGCTGCTTACTATCATTTGTTTACATTGCCACATGCCATGAAAAGCAAAAGTTCAGCTGACTTCGAGAGTTTGGGAATCCCTAACTCAGCTACCCCCTGAAGCTCCTAGACTAACTTAGATAACTGTGGACCAGTAAAAAATGCATTCACAGAAATAAGCCATTAATGAATAGAAAAAAAGAGGATTCAATTTGCCTGATGGTTTAGTGAATAATACATTCAGCTCTATTGTGATAGAGCATTAGTTTTTTTTATTTTGCAAATGGGGAAACTATGACACAGATTAAATGATTTGCCCAGAGTCACACGGGAAGTGTGTGGTGGAGCCATGGATAGCACCCAAGTAAGCCTGATCCACAAGGATGTTTTTTCCTCCATATAGGAGATGCTCTGAGAAAATGCAGCTCTGCATTCCGTGTTCTCTCTAATCACTTTTAGAAAACTACACTGGTCTAAAAACTTCAGAATCACATATGTATGGTTCCATTTCCAAATGTCTGTCAGTTGAACAAACAAAGATCTTGGCTATTGTACCTAGCGCTGACCCTGGATTACTCAGGCATGTACCTATAATGGACATTAGGGGGTGAGCGAGGAGAGAGATTTTGAGCAACTCATCCTCTCTTGCTGGTTAGAATATGTACAATTGATGGGAAATGGCAACAGAAGCCTTGTGGCCCCTATAGAAACACTTTGCCCTGAGCTCAAACTAAGGATAGAAAATAGGAACAGGGGCAAAGGTCAGAAGTAACAAAACTGGTATCATTTGGTAACCACAGTTCTAAGGAATCTTGCATTTCAGATGTTTTGGGTTTCTGAGTAATTATTATGGATAATTCCAATTACTTAACCTTCAATGTTAACATGCTAAAAATAACCCTCATATTTGTCTGGTAAGTAACCCAGCCCCCATGAGAAATGCAGGCTGAATTACGCACTTGTTTTTGGAGTGACCTCTGGAGGTGCTAGATGACATTCCAGGCTTGTTCAGACTACCCTCGCAGCATTCCAGACTTCCAGTGCTGCACAAGGGCACCAGCATCGAGTCATTGACAAGAGAAAAACAAAATACCGATTGTTCTCTCAGCAGAGTGGCAAACATTGCTTTGCTAAGAAGTCAAACCAGGGCCTCCTGAAAACAGTCACATTTAAAGGAAATTTCTTTTGATCTTAACAAGAGACAATTTGCCTGATCAAACCTATGGGCTTAGATCTGGCTTGCCCAGTCATCCAAGGGGCCAATCCTCCATGAAGAGTCTCCTCCCATTCAGAATTTACATTTGCATTCCTTGAGCACCCATCATAATTGCTGAAACTAGATGAAGCCCAAAAATGGGGAAGAAATGAGCACAAGCCCACTTACTGGAGGGTTTGGCCACTACACAACAAATCCGCTCCTTAGTAAAAAGTAACATTCAGGGGGTTAACATTTAATTTGTGGCAGAGGCACACAGAATGTAATCCAAGTAGTAAGGTTCAAAGAAAATGCAGCATATTACACAGAAAAATCAGAACCCTGCTCTCCTGTGGCCAGAAGCAGACTCCGCCCTCCACTGAGGTGGTGAATACGTTAGAACTTAGAGGGTGTACATTATACAGCTGAAGTGCACATGATTTTTGATATTTTTAATACACTCTTGCTACTACAGATTTCCCTTAGCTTGCTTGAGCTTTCACCTTCTGAAATTGTTTTGCTGTGCATAATACTAGTTTGTCACTGCCCTCGTTATTCATCCAGGCCTCCCCTCTGGAACCCCAAGCTCAGCAGCTTTATCATCCAGTTCTCTCTCACACAATTTCTGTTGTTCACAGTCACAGAGCTCACTGCTCCGTGTTCTACATTGGTTATGGATCTGTTTATGCATCATCCCTTAAATCATTTCCCATACCTTCTAACCAACCCTGACCCCAATGCCTCTTAGAATTCTGCCTGGCCATCTATGAGTCATGTCACCTATATAGGGCCCTTACCACCACATAGTGCCAGAAGCACCTCCTTCCCACTTGTTCCCAGGTGGAGGGGGCCCCAGTGATGCTGGGCTCAGCTGCAACAGATGTGCCACATTAGGCAGTTTCCCTGTAACAGGGGAATTCTGTGCTTGGCCTTTGCAGCTGGGTTATGGCTCCAAGATGCCTGCTGAGTAGTGCACAAGACCCATAACCTACCTCTGCTTGAATATCTGGCTCATGGTCTGAATTACATCAGTTTACTAACAACTGGCTTTTTCTCATCCCAAAAGATTATGATTTTTGAATAAAGATCCAAATGCTGATGGTCATGGGGGTGTGTATGCCAACCACACATACATACAGTGGCCATATTTTCCAAACCAAAAATTGGGAGACATGATCTGACAAAGGATTTTTTTCTGATTTGTGAGTGGGCTGGGAGTATAGGGGTCTCAGCAGAGCGGTGAGTGAGGGGGCTGGAGGTACGGGGTATCAGCAAGGTTTTGAATGAGAGTGCTGGGGGTCCCATCCAGGAAAATCCAGGACATACAGTGCCGACCATACATCCCCGATTTTCTGGGACAATCCCAATTTCAAATATTCCGTCCCGTTGTTCCCATATGCCATTGGAATGTCCCAGAAATTCCAATATTTCACCAAATATTTTGGCTGGGGATGGAGAGTGAGCTCCGAGGCTGGATCCGGCTTGCAGGGAAGGCTGAGGAAACAGCAGTGGAGGGATGTGGTTCCTGGAGGCTTTTCCTGCTGCTCCAGAATCCAGCCAATAGGAGCAGTGGGAGGCAGTGCTTGGGGCTCGGTGTTGGAAACCATGTGAAAGTAAGTGACCCTCCCTTCCCCTCATACTCAGATCCCACACTCCCATCCCTCTAATTCACCGCCTTACCAACACCCCACACTTGTACCCCCAGCCCACTCACTCATCGCCCTGCCGACACCCTGCATCCCCAACCTCCTCACAAATCAGAAAAATATCCTGTCAGATCAGGTGTCCCAACCTTTGGTTTGGAAAATATGGTCACTGCCAGGGGAGGAGGAGCGTGGAGAGGAATTACAAACCAAATCCTCTGTCCAAATCTAACCTGCCTCCTAAATTGCACCCAGAAGCAAACAGACAGCAATTTGGGGACTAGTAACATTTGATCTATGGAAAATCCCATGAAGCTGCCAAGTTTTCATGCCTGGCTCTGCACATAGGTAACTCCAGCAAAATTCACCTCAAATAAACTGTTACAACACTCAGGTTACGTACAGACAGACACAAGAGACACTTTTGACTACAGACAGTATTTGGGACCCCAAATACCTTGAAGTTCAAAACAGAATCCTGAACTGTGACTTTAATAACTGAAAGCTAGATTCTCTTAATAATTGAAGCAGCCACGAAGTCTACCAGGTTCTTGAGTAGTTTCCCTCAGCAGTCAGCTGCAATTGCTATCCTATCCCATTTAGATTAAATCTTACCTAGCATGCATTTGTTCACATCATACCTTGTCTAGGCACTGAGAAAACCAAGACACTGCACCACCTGGGTCAAATCAGATGGACAGTAGAAAGGTGTGTCATCAGCATATGGCTGGCATTGCACCTACCCTGTAGCTTCATACACTTTAGTTCATATGCACCAAATGAGGCACATGTATTTTAAAAGTGAGGTCAATTAATAGATAAGAACACCATGAGTAAGAACCTTGTCCTCAGAGTAACAATTAACATAGCCTATTGGTTTCTTTCTGAGAGGAAAGAATAGAACTACCACACCTGAGGAAGCCTACTGAGTCTTGCCAATTTTTGCAATCAAGTCAAAACCACCACAGGATCCCTGGTACAAAAGGTTACTAGGCTAGTTAAAAGCAGCATCAGGAACACCATCTCTAAAACTTCATCAACCAGTAGGGTCAGTGTTATACATGAGCTTATACCCAAATCAACAGCTAGCAAGAAACCCAACCACTTTTCCAATTACTTTACCCAATAGGGGCCGAGCAAAGCCATATCTATCCTAATACTGCATTCATCAAGTCATAAGCCGTATCAGCTGGGTTGTGTTAGTCTTTGCAACTCAACTTTGGGATTACTGTGCACCTCACAGATTGCAACTAATGATTGGAAAAATGATCACAGTATTTGAATTTGGTACAGTAGTGAACAAGCTAAATGAAAAAAGGGACACTTTCTCTCAAAACAGATTTTGTTTATTTTGGTAGCTGAAATTTATTATTTCCATCATAATGTGCTGCAGTAAAATATTACAAATAAACAAGTAATTCATTTATTTGCAAAAATAAAGCCTTAGAGAAGGCCTCATATGTCCATATACCCCAGTTTAAGAAATACTTTTAAAAACTAAGGAACAATATTTTTTCATGAGGAACACCAAGGATTTTTTCTTGAGCAAAAAAGAAAAAAAAAGG